CAACAGGAATGATGGTGTGCAGTGAATCACTGAATGTCAAATGGTGTCTGAGGGTGTTGAAAATGAATCTGAACAGAAGGCAAAGCTGCAGGAACTAAAGACAACAGCTACTGTCAGGAGAAGTGACATTATGGAATAAATAAATTATGGTTCTGTCATCTGGACATATCTCGATGAGAATTTTGTCAGAGCATAACTGGATGCAGTTCAATATATTTTGTACTGACAAAGTGGGGTGGAAAAATAGCCACGTTACACCAAGGGCATATGTTTTATTAAGACACTGGGGAAAACATACAAACGCAGGATTTGGGCTCCTCCCCCAGAATATTTTAAGCATCAGACACTTAAAGGGTAACTTTGTTTGTGTCTAAGTGACTAATGGGAACAACATCTTTTGAAATTGGTCCAGTATTGAGTGAGAGGGCTGTAGTCGGCAGCAGCCACACAGTTTGCAATGTAATCACTTTGGGCAATAGAGCTCGTAAGTTGCGTGTTTCCATTTCCGGTACATGAGACCTTAAAAATCGATTTTTCATAATATATTTCAATGGCTAGATGAAAATTATTTTCTGGTCCCGTTTCAATTGTGCCATGAATTTCATATATGTTTTTTGTGAATTTTTAATATATTTTTCATGCAAAGAAGGCTACAATTTAGCAGGAAGAAGTTTGATACTGTTTTGTGTGAGAGCGCTTTGTGGACTACAGCTCTTCGCTGCTCTCGACGCGTATGATATACGTCACCACTCGCACTCGGAACATGGCTGTGTCTCTGGTACACTTCACCGCCTTCTTCCAAGGAGAGGACTAAAGCCTTAAGTGTGGCAAAAACCACTACAAGTCTGGAAATGTGGAAAGTTTCAGCTACACCAGTGGGGAGATCTGATGGCTCCGTAGATCGTGGTAGAAGACGCAGCAGCAGCACTGTGAGTTGAGAAGTGGAGGGAAAGTGTGATGACATGATGTCACATAGGCGACATGTAGTCTTTCTCATTACGTTGTTTCCCTAGCCTGAAGAATCATACAATAAACTCAAACTCTTAACATGAAAAAATATTATTTAGACCCACACAAACATTTGTGTAATCCAAGGCATTTAATGACTGGGACCAGAAAATAATAATTTTCTCTCCATTGACTCCCATTCATATTTTCCAAGCCTAGAGGTCTGATGGGGGTCTACCAGAAGGGGTGTGACTTACGAGCTCTATTGCACACCCTCAATTTACATCCACTAAAAGTGCTTGTTTTTCCACAGACAGGCTCAAATTATTATTGTAAGCATCTAGCAACAATATGGAAAGGATTCTTACAGAGATAGACCTTTGTGTTAAAGAGTAAAATCCTTTCTGTTTGACACAAATCAGCCCTGACATTGCCATCACCAAACCCACCAGACTCCATTTAAATAAACAGTAATTTTAGTGTGTATAGAGGCAGCACATTTTCACATCTAACTGGGTGAATTAAGGGTTTATTTCATTTAAACCAGAGTTGGTGATTGTTGGAACAGTGGAAAGACGAACCAAGATGGCTTTTGTGAGATTTGTTTTTGTGGACTTTGAACGAAGTGTCTTTTAAAATGATAAAATTACCGTTTGTTTTTTTTAATGGAGTCTGGTGGATTTGGCGGTGGCAACTTTGAGGCCGTTTATGGATAAACAAAAAGGATTTTACTCTTCAACCCAAAGGTCTATCTCTGTAGGGATCCTCTCCTTAATGTTGTCAGACACTTAGAACAACAATCTGAGCCTGTCAGTGACAAAAACAAACACTTCTAGTGGACATACATTGACGATGCACAGTTGCCCCACGGGGTTACACTGCAGCCTGTTTCACTGCTGCCACCTGCAGCAGTCTCACTCAATACTGGACCAGTTTCAAAAACAGTTGTAGCCATTAGTTACCTAGACACAAAAACATGAGAAAACAGGGTCCAGGTTGAAAAACACTAGAGTTACCCTTTAATTTCCTGCATTCTGGTGAATTTGTCGGTGTAAATGTCTTTAATTTTACCCCCCCCCCCCCAAAAAAAAAAAGTCCTCTACTACTTTCATGTTTAAATGGAGTGGACAAATGCACATGCTGAATATTTATAGGGTCATGTCCCCTTTGTCCCCAAAATCTACACCTATGTGTGACACATCTGAAGGAAAACATTTTGCGATTTGGTCACCAAATCAATTAGTAATTTATAATATTTATTATTCCAAATAACAAATATACCAAATATTCCTTAGAGACATTTTAAAAAATATCCAAAGCTAAAAACGTCACCAGGCTAAATGTCCTCATACAACCCAACGATGATGTCAGTGAACACGTCTATTTTTATATATGAAAAATAGCGCCTTTCTTGAAACCAAACTTCTGACTCTTACTAAATAGTATTCAGGCAAAAAAGAGGCACGAATAAAGGATGCTACAAAGATTTCTGCCACCTAACAATCAACTCAACCACCCGTGCAGCGACACTGTCCCGCACGAAAACGCTTAAGTAGCAGCCACGCCAATAATTCCTGCTCGGGACGGCGCAACAAAACTTAATGAACCAAGATCGAAGATTAATCTTCCAGCGATTTGAATTCAGCTCCAACATTTGTACAAACGCACACAGCACCACCTTAAACATGTCGTCTCACCCCCCGTGTGAATACAGCATGCAGAGAGTACAGTACCTTTGGTGTTGTCTTCGGGCCGGCGGCTGGAAGTGAATGAGTTTGTGATGCTGAGTACAGTGGGGATGAATGGAGGCTGCGCTGCTTAGCAACCAAACGACCAATCAAATAAAAGGAAGACAATTTCACCATATGCACAGTTCACTTTATGCAGGATATTTAATTAACCATTTGAAATCTGAGGCACTTGGCGTGATGTCAATCAACAACATAGGAAGAAAGCAATGAGCAACGAAAGAGGAAATTACTAAAAGAAATTAGTAAAAAGGGAAAATGAAAAACAAGACAATTAGTAAAAGAAATAAAGTTAAAAACAAACAATGATCATTTTAACTTTCTTTCAGGAAAGGATGTTTAAACATTAGAGTTCTGTAACATAATTTTCATAATTTTAAAATGTAATAATAATAATAATTATAATCATAGTTTCCCCCTATATTTTTTCTTTTTCCTCGTTATTTTTATACTTTTCCATTTATTTATTTTTTGGCAATTTCTGGGCCATTTCTTATCAAGTTGCTCATTGCTGAAACTTTTTGCAAATTATGCACTGCTGTGATTATAATTTTGTTATTTTTTTCTTTTATTTATTTATGTATTTTTTATTATTATTTTTATTATTTAAATGACTGATTTATTTTATCTATTCATTGTATTTTTATTTTCTTGCCAGGGTTGGGGATATTACGAGGAGGGTGTGTCTGCAGACCTGGAGACTGCAGATTCAGACCTGCAGATCTGGACCCGCAGTTCTAGACCCCTTGTAAGACTGCAGATTCAGATCTGCAGATCTGGACCCGCAGTTCTAGACCCCTTGTATTTCGCGACAGCACCCTCTATTTCACTGAAAGCCAACATACTATTACAACTATTGAATATGGACACGACGATCCGAGTGTGAGTATTGAATATGAATCACATTATTTGTTTAATGCCATCAAACTATTTTGTTGACTTGAATTAGAGAGCGAACTTCATGTTTTACAGTGATACGTTTAAAATGATATGACTGTCTTTACCACGATAGTCTGAAAGGCACGTCAAATATGGGTTAAAGTAGTAGGTAATAGTTTAGCTTGTTAGCAATGAACTGTTTGACCTGCACATTTTGTTTCATGAAACCGAAGCGCGATGACGAATAATTTTAGCATGTGCTTTAAATTAAACATGAATAAATGATTAAAGCAATGAAGTGGATGATATGAGAAAAACGTGTATAGGCTTACGTTTTCATACAAGCATGAAACTGTTTACATATTGGCAATTAGTGTACTTTATGCTAAAAGTTAATTTTGTATTCATGTATATCATGTAATACACCTACACACGTTTTTCCTTTATTATTCATAATATTATATATCACGTGTGTTTATATCACTACATTGATATTACTCTATAGCATATATTTAGAGATTTTGTGGACAGAAATTAAGCTCATCCAGCGCAGAAGATCAGAAATGTATTTTTGTCTATTATTAGGTTTTGGCCTTGTTTATGTGTGTAAAACGGTTGAAAAATATTAAGAGGAGAGGTAAGAGGAGAGAAGCAGTAATTTCTGAGTATTATTGATGCTTCTGCTATCCCAGTATTTATTATTATGTTGTCTGTTTACCTTTACAGTAAAGTGGAGGAGTTTTGTCGGAGGATCGAAAGGCAGATGAGGAAGGAAGGGGCACTATTCAGATGGTAGGTAATGTTAATATGTCGATATAATAATGTGTTTGCTATGCTCCAGAATCTTCAGTATTTCAGTGTAGACTGTGATAGGTATTTAATTTTTTTTTTTTTTTAAAGATATTTTTTTGCCTTTAATGGACAAGATAGTTAAGTGTGAAGGGGGGAGAGAGAGAGAGAGAGGGGATGACATGCAGCAAAGGCCACAGGCTGGAACCCAGGCCGCTGCGGCAACAGCCTTGTACATGGGGCGCCTGCTCTACCACTAAGCCACCGACGCCCCGGTATTTATTTTTTAAGTGTTTCTGTTTTCAATTTTGTGATATGTTTGATTTCTTTTTTTTCTCTGCAGATCTCCCTGATGTGTGATGTAACTGCACATAATAAAACATTTCAAACCATTTCAGTATTTCACAGCCTTTGTTTCAAATTCCCACAACAAAAGTGAGCACTGGACACCCAAGACCAGACATTTCCTTTTATATATTGTAGCGGGTTTGATCAATGCAGTGCAAGTTTTTGGCGTGCCAGTCAGAGCAGTCTGATGAATATTAAGAAATAAAGAACTAAAATAGTTGGATCAAACCATACAAAATAAGCAGCAAACAATAATAATGCAGAACAGCACCCAGGCATAAATCAACATTTAAATCTTGGTATTTTTATTCGGGTGTAATAAAATTTTAAAACTGTAAATTGTAATAAAGCATTAAAAGTGTAACTTCTTTCAAACTGGTGTTTGGGTGAGACGCTGATTTAGTTGCAGTTATACAGCCGCCCAGTAGGGGTCACTCGCGAAAAACAAGGGGTCTAGAACTGCGGGTCCAGAACTGCGGGTCTGAATCTGCAGTCTCCGGGTCTGCAGAGACATACTATTGTGGGGGATATTACAGGTATATTCTTTGTTGAAATGTTACTGCTCACATTCAATGTTTAAAAATTCAATAAAAAGATTGTTTGGAGAAAAAAAGTTGCTCATTGCCTTTACCCCATGTTTTTGAAAGAAACTGCACCAATTAGCTCAGGGTTCAAAGGTTTAAATACTTGTGAAAGGCATCTGAAAGCAGAGCAAGAAAGGTGTTGTCACTCCAGGTTTCTCAGGGTTTTTAAAACCATCCAGTAAAATTTCAAACCACAATTTAAGGCCGATCTTTGGACAAATCATCTTTTCTAAGAATTGCAGGTAAGCATAGAGGTAAGCAGTATGTATGTAGTCACGTGTAGAGCTAGGTTTAATGTAGGATTATGGTTATTAGAGTGAGTTAGGTTCATATATAGTAGTTACAAAAGCAGTTTTAGGTTTAGTGGTATGTTTAAAGCTGTGCAACATCAGATATGTGGACTATGTGGAGAGCTTCACTCATTTTGTCAAAAAGAAATTAAAAGATGGATTAATGACACCAAATAAAATGTTTGTAGTAATTAAGATCTCACAAATTCAAAATACAGACTATTCAATGACTTCCAATGCCTTATATTTATGAAATGGCTTTTTAATGACCTGCAGACACCCTGTGCTAAACGGTGCTCATTCTGTTCATTATAATCTTAAGGTAACTTGCTTCCCTTTACCTATTATTACATTACAATGACATAGGTACGGTATAAGATGCTTAATAAAAAAATCAACACATAGTTATGCAACATTTAATTCATTTATTTGTTGTAATTGTGCGGTGGTAGCTTTAAGTTGCACAGCGTTTTCGTATCCCTTTGAATCAGGCAGAAAAGAGTGTGTGTCAATGTTGAATGGTACAATCTCTGAACAGCAGCTAAATCTACAGCACCCTCTAGTGACATTATCAGCAAAGTGGGTCACTGTGGAGAACATGAAACCTATACCCTGTGGAGGACATTGTGCGTTACCTTCTAAACTAAAATGAGGCATTTCCTGAATAAAAAAAAAAATCGAAATGTTCAGCAGGTTTAAAACCTTAATCAGTCACTGAGGAGAGCGCAGATCTCATCGTATGTGAGACATCTCCTCCAGGAAAGGGGTCTTCATGCAGCCTGTGCAAAGCTGGTCCATCCACAGAGGAGCCTCGTGCTGCAAAGGGGTGCGGCGGGGGTAGAAAGTGTACGAGAGGTCGTAGTTTAGAAGACAGCCGAGGGAGGCCATGTAGATGTCTGAGAAACGAGACAGACGTCTGGAGAAGTACGTGGGGTTGTGACAGGTTCTGAAGATGCTGCCGAACTGAGGGTTGAACAAGTTCTTTGTCATCGCCCTGCGACATAAAAGGTCAAGGTGTAAGATTATATGACTTTAAGCATGTACAGTTCATATATGTAGTAGTGGAATTATCATTACTTATGCACTACAGGTCCAGTGTGTAGCATTTAGGGGGATATATTGGCAGTTTTCTTTAGTATATAAATGCCTAAAAATAAGAATTGTTGTGTTTTTGTTACCTTTAAATGATCCGTATATCTACAAAGGGAGCGGGAATTTGTCTTTGGAGAGTTTCTACAGAAGCCCCAAACAGATAAACCAAAATCTGGCTCTACTAGATCAGAAAATCACCGATTTTTTTCAATGTGAAACTACTTTATTCAGTGTTTTTACTGGTTTAAATCACTGTGTCCGTTTGTTTGAGAGAAAGAGACCACATCAAAAGCCTCCTGAATGTCTGGATCAGATAAAGGTGAGCACACATTAGCAGGCGCTGGGCTGACAACATGGGAGAGACACTGATTTGTAACATGAAACGGTGTTATACAGTGTTTTTACCGTTTTTATTCACCAGGGGCCTCGTTAACAAAACAGTGCGTAGGATCCATACTAAAAATGTATATACACTTCCAAAAGCCAAACATGGTGTGCGCCAAAAAATATTTGATCATTTCTACAATACCATATGTGTCACCAATTTCCCGTCTCCAAAATGTTTATAAGCATGGGTCTAAGTTTCTCCCATCAAGTGTGCTTTTCGAGAGAGCAACTTGTGTGTGAGAGGTGGCGTACGCCTCTTTCAGGCTTTGTTTTGTGCGTACACAATGTTCAGAACTGAGATCCCAGTTCTGTTTGTTTTGGAGAGGAAGAGCAGTGACTCAGCTCCTGAGAAAATCCCTTTGAACAGTAAACAATGACGGAATTCCGACCACATGTAGTTTCAACTGGTTGCAATGTGTAAACCTCACCACTAGATGTCACTAAATCCCCCTAAATTTTAAGCACTGTTGTGGACTAGGCCAAAATGAGCTGAGGTTACTCTTCAAGTACAGGCACCTCAGAGCTGTACTTATATACCTGATGACAGCATGGTCATTGGAGGTGCATGAGATGAGTGACAAACTAAGATAACGGCACTCACCTGAGTTCTTCTCTCTCCTTCTGCCATTCCTGAAAAATCAGTTTACACTCCGGGTCCCGAAGTGTCTAAGATAATGGAGGCAAAAAGCACAGTGAGGAAATCAAGGTCTGCTGTTGTCAGAAACAAAACAACAGCAAGATGGAGATGGAAAACTTAACATTCACACATACATAAAGAATTATCTGTTCTTCTGTTAAAATGTAAGAACACCCAGTTTGTTTTATTTGAACCACAGTGAAAGTTTTTACTGCATTTTTGTGCTCAATTCATTCAGTTTCCCACTGCCTCATTATGAGACAACATGGGCTTGTAAACAGTTGCATGGACTCGTGTAGCCTGGTAACAACAGGTGGAAATGAATGTCATTGCAGATCGTGGTTTGCCGTCAGTTTATTTGGCAATTTGGGGCTTACCAAACACCAGTAACTGCTGCCTATGAAACATCACCATCTGTTTTCTTTAACACTAAGGAAAGTCTGAGATGTGTCAATGCTGTTATGTGGTGAGCTCCTACGTAAAAACGGAGTGAAAGCTCCATACAATCCTGGTAATCACTTCTTACCTGTAGGCGTTCCATGAGGCCGGTCAACGCCTGGAGCCAGGTGAGGCTCAGACCAAACCGGTCTGTCCTCACCACTTTGGTTTCCTGCTCCAGCTCAGGTACGATGGCTGCTGTGCGCCAACCGTGTCGTAACATCAGATCCTGCCGCGACAAGTGAAATTGCTTTGGTCAAACTCTAGCCTGTGCAATGCTGAACTGTAGCATCCTGCCAGAACGCATCAAGAACTAAGTGGCAGCAAACGTTTAGTTCCTGAGCTGAAATACACGAGGAGTCATCCCTGTGAGACCACATATTTACTTCTCTGTAAACATCTCTGAGCACAAACGCCAAATATACTCAGCAGGAGCATGTTTTGTCACCTGGCGCCTTCAGTGTCACCCATTTTGATGTCTCCATTTTATGAGTTAATCAGTGGCTTTCCGTTGGTTACTGAGGTGTTGCTGCTGTTTTGTGAATCCCCTCACAACCTTGGGCCATCTGTTTGAAGAATATAAACCCAGCAGACCCCTTAGATCTTTAGGAAGCAGTCACATGGTGGTGCTTTGAGTCAAAACCAAATGGTTTTATATGCTCCCCAAATGTCAGTCATTTTCAAATCTAATTCCACAACTCTGCTGCTCTCCTGCACGTCTGATTCACTGGTTTCTCTACTGCACTTTCATTTCCTTTCATTAACTTCTGCAGTGTAAGAACTGGCTGGGCGATATAACGTCTACATACGATATATCGATTTTCAAGCAAGACATAAATTTAGACAACACCATTCATATCGATATAGGGTCAAGTTGCCTTACATAACGCATACCAGCATGCATCTCTCCTCTCTCACACTCACAGCTCCACCCCTCTTACTCACAAGTTCTCCAGCAACACTCAGAGACACAGAGCTGCTCCTCTGTTTAATCTGTCTGTTAATTAGTCTTTAGTGTGACATTGGCCTATATATTGCACGTGCTACGCTAAATAAATCTGAGATTAATGAAATTACCGCAGCACACGTGCACTCCAGCGCTCAAAGCTAGTTTGTGTGTGAGGTGGATTACAGTGTGTTGCCGTTGTTCTTGGTACTTGTTGTCTCAAAGTGTCTCTCCTCCTTCCCTCCCTTGACCTCTGTTGATGCTCTGTGCATGAATGAGACTAGATTCATTCGGAAGGCCAACAGATGGAAAATTACTAACTCCTCCTACAAAGATTTTCAATTGTTCCAACTACAATGCATTTAGGATTACTTGATACTTTTATACTCATGTTATGGTTGTGTTTTTTGCTGCAAACCTTTAAACCTCTGTAGCTCCAGTGCTGTGTGCAAAAAGCAATAACATACAGCCCTTATATTTATTATATATCATTTTTCATTTACATGTTGTGCAGCTGTATATTTTCAAACGAAACGGAAAAAGATCTGTATTTGCATTTTATTTTGATCACAGCCTGTTTTATAAAAGTGCTTGTGACATCTCAAATGTGGCTTTGACTTGCCCAATTAATAGAAAATACTAGATATATATTGTGTATCGCCAAAATACAGACACAAGCATTTTGTCCTCATCACCCAGCCCTAACTGTAACTGTATTTCAAGTCTATTAAATATGCTGATTTGTGTTTTGTCTGTTTTTAAATCTCATTGTAATTTATAATTAATCTATTTTGCTTAATATGTTTTAATTGCTGCTTTAATTTATTTATAAGCACTTTAAGTTGTCTGTTTTAAAAGTGCAACAAAACAAAGTGCTTTCTGATTGTGTCTCATCAGCAAGTACTTCACAGCAGTGCAGAAACAATGTGTGTTTCCAGCTGCCAACACGTTTGTATACCTTCTATGCAGTAATCCATGCCATTGATCCCACATATTTTGACACAGTGTCAGGCAGTCTGTGCTGCCATCTGGTGTTTAAAGTTTGCACTGTGCAGCCCCCCCCAAGCCCCACCCCAGTGACACGTTGGAACATTCAACGTTGTTCAATACATGGAGAGAGTGGAAATCTGGCAGTGTGCGAATCTGTGCGTCTCTTTGTATGTGTTTGAAAGGGCCTGGACCTTAAATATTTACTGCTTCATTAGTATTAATGCAATTATTTTAGTTGCCACCGTCTTCAGCTGTTAAATAAATGTCATATGCTGAGAAATTCTCACTTTGAGAGGAAATTCTGACGACATAAGATAATCTATGTGGATTAAACACACAGGAAAATCGTCATGGCTTTGACACTTACAGCCAAGTCACTATAAAGATGGTCTCCGAAGTACAGAACCTTTGGGCCTCGCCATCCTGTCAGTCGGAGGAAGTCAAACAGATTTCCCTGAAACACAAAAGAAAACCACAAACCAACAGGTCGTTCTTTTTATTTCAAGTCACACAGAATGCAGCAAGTAAAAACGTGTAACATTTACAACATGTAAGAACACAGCTGTGAAACAGAGAAAGAGAAGTGAGCCTGATGACTAGAGGACCAGGGGGCAGCTTAAATGTGAGGAAACATTTCCCTTTCAGAGACGTCACACAGTAGCCTGAATTAACAGAGACCTGTTTGTAGATCTGTCCTTTGTCCAAACTGTTTATCTTTTCCCACCGAAGGTCCCCATTATCATCCAAACGCCTGAAGGGTCTGTAAGAGCAGCACACTTTAATGACATTTCTGGGGCACATGACTGATGCTGTATTCACCACTTTCCCCAAAACATTACTCACTTGATACAATCGGTGAAGAAGTGAGGTTTGTCTGCTTGGACAATTACAACGTCAAAGAATTCTCTCCAGTTTTTTCCCACCATGTGTGTCATGCCTTTATCCCTGCACAAAGGAGAGAGAAAAAAATTACAGACTGGAACAGAACAGTTTTCCCTCATTATGAGTCAGAGTGCACTCAAAACTAACAGAGAGCCAACACTCACACAAAGCAGAAGGGACTGTTGGTGATGAGGAATAGCTTCTTTCCGTTGCTGACCAGTCGATGCAGAACAGCATCGGTCTCTTCTCCTCTGGGAATGAACTTATCTATGAAGAGGAGGAAGACGCCTCAGTAGCACATAGTGTAGCTGTAATGTTATTTTATGTCGTAATATGCCGACTTGATGCTAAAATAGGGAAAGGATTTCTTACCGAGATCCTCCATGATCCATTTGTACATGTAGCCCTTGAGGTGGACCATGCCAATTGCTTCCTGAGGATTACATAAGTGTTACATAGGCTACAGTCACATTACAAGCAAACGTGGCCCAAATCTGATTTTTTTTTTTTTGCTATTGCATGAGACAGATCTGATTTTTTCATAGTGTGGAAACAGAAATCTGTTTTTCTGATCGCTTTCATACGTGGTCCTGAATCCGATACATATCCTATGACTGGCCATGCGACCGCTGTGCAGCAGCAGATCATTTACCATGCAATGTTGGACAGAAGGGTGCTGTAGCTGTAGGCTGCCTCAGTCGCCAGACACTATCTGACGGAGATAGCCTGCCTACATATCATGACAGGCTTGTTGTGAGGCGCAGAAGGAAATATTGGAATGTAGCTCTGGACATTGGAATGTAGCTTTGGTTTTGGAGTAACCGTTCCACCACGAAACCCTCCATATCACAGCCCGATGACTCCTGTGTCTTCCTGCAACGGCTCCAAAGAACTAGCAACAATAGCTGCTTTCGTCTTCTCCTGCCATTGTTCTAATGGCTGATAATCCCGAAGCCTCAATAGTCTGGGAGCCATGGGAGTAGCCATGGGACCAAAAGGACATTTTAACAGCCAGTTATCCCTAAAACAAGCGCACATTGTTGTGAAAACAGCGACACACTCTCCCAAACAGCAGCATGTTGCTAACTATTGTGCAGAATAAAGAAGGTCATGAAGTCATTCTTCATAATGATTAGCCAAGTGTGTCTATGGGGGGAGAGTGCCCTGCAGTTCAGGACAATGGGCAGTCAGTCCACTCATCAACATAGGACTGACTGTTCTCTGCAGCAAATCATTCGGGAAATAAACATTCGTGCTGCTGTGTAATCAGTTTTTTTTTCCCCAAACGCCTGTTGCACAAATGTGATGTTTTGGTTTTTGTTCCAAGGCACAAGTGTGACGTTACTAGTGGCACATGAGGTGTTCAGAGCAGAGATCCGTCGACGCTGATGTCAGATATGGGTTACTTGAAACATAAATATGAATAGTCTAAGCAGAGAGATCAGATCGGGGGGAAAAGAGGAAATGTGGATTAGGCCCTGTAGTGTGAATAAAGCCACAGAGGCAACAGAGCTTCACGCAAAATCTACAGATTTCATGGTACATTTTAGATGTAGCTTTTCCTGCCAAGAGACTGTTCTGATCTACAGTCCCTCACAGAGAAATAGCCCTTTATATGACATTGCGTAAAACCTGACTTTTTCTTTTTTTCCCTCTCAAATCAAAGTGGACACTGGGCTGCATTTCCCTGTAACCCAAAACTCTGGCATCTCTGGACCAGGAGGAAACACAGTTTTTGTTCTTTGTTCGGCCCTTGACAGTCCACTGCAAACGTCAACTGAGCGCAGCAGATTCCTCAGACTCCTGCTGAAGGACCACAGTGTCTAAAAACAGTCCAGTACGCTGGTCAGTATGCTTCTCAGTATGACCTGCAGGGTGAGGCCTTGGCTTAAAACATAAGGTGCAACATTTAATACCGCGAGAGCAGCACCATGAGGCAACCATGTGAACACCCCACACCCCACTCCCGCAGCTAACCCTGAGTGGGCCCCTTCCCTGCAGCACAGAGCAGGCGAATTTCAACAACTTTCATTGTGTGGGTACTTATCATTTCAAATGCACAAATTCAACAAGACCACTTCAGAACACTGGACACAGATTATTGTACTGGGTAACTGTTGGAGCTTTTTAACATTAAAAACCGCTGTGACATCTGTCAAGGGTACACCAGGCTTTCCCTCACTGGGCACAGAAGGTGAAGTCTTAATCTAATCTTATGCTAACACCACTGCAGTGTCCACCTCATCTGTAATCTAATCTGCTTTTCCTGTCGATCACTGTCTTTACAATCAGGTAGGCCTGTTTCATCCTTGTCGACCTCGTTGTTGTCTTCTAAACCTTCCTGACTCAAGAAAACTATTGACAAGCAAAGATTTTTTCACGCAATACTGGCTCTGAATATGCAGACAATTATATCTGTATTGCAATCTCATGGTGTGTGCGTGGGTGTACTTTACAGGCCAGTGCAAGAGTTGGGGGTGGCATACTCACTGAGACGTCCTTGAAGAGGTGAACTGGATCATATTCGATGTCATTGGTGAGGAAAAAATCATTTGCCACGGCCATGAGCGTCATCTCAGGGATGGAGAAGATGTCCATGTACTGCTTCACTTTGGGTCCCTGTGAGAGAAAATGTATTTTAATGATTAGTAATTACTTCACATGCAGGAAATGTTGTAAAAATAAACACTTCCTGATCACATCAGGAACCATTTCCCCTACAACCACTGCAGCTACCCTGAAGACAGAGCGCCCAAATGAGATTATAGTCACACCAAAACTATTTCGGATAGTGCTGGTTTAAGGAGAATCACAAGATGGACAGACATACTTCCAGCTGAGGGAAAGCACTTTGCAGACCCGATGGACCGACAACTATTTGAGTCTGATTCAAAACATGAGTCCAAATTGTTCCTGATTAGCAAAAAGGTCAGATTAACCTTTATGGCTGTCAGACTCAATAGAGATTTCTACCTTAATGACTGGTTGCGTGCAGCTTTCAAAACTAAAAATAAATTATTTTGTTGGACATCGAGTCCTTGTGGCCAGAACTATAATGCGTAGTGCTGTTTCAAGGAGAATCACAAGATGGGCAGGCATACTTCCTGCTGTGGGAAAGCTCTTTAAGGAGGCAATGGGCCGAAAACTATTTGAGCCTGATTGAAAACATTTTAGAGTCCAAATTGTTCCTAATTAGCAAAAAGGGTCAGATTAACCTTTGTGACTGTCAGACTTAAGAGAGATTTCTACTTTTGTGACTGGTTGAGAGATTTCAAAAGAGTTCTTGTGGTCAGCTTTGTAAAGACTGGAACAAAGCCTTCCAGTGGCTTCATGACGGCAGTGGAACAAATGAGATTACAAAATTTAACATCGGGGACTTATGTAATAGTAAAGCCATGCTGAGCCAGACATTTGAAATATCGGTGGACGGTAACAGATTTAATCCAGAGGGTGGCGGGATGAGATTACAACAGATGTGCTGAGCCCCCAAAGTTAAGAAGTGCTTTCACATCTGTGCCAAACCAAACAACCACACACATTTCACAGAGAAATATCTGAATCCAAAATGCAATAGCTCTCTCCATAGGACTGTTTGAAGTTATAACAAACAGTCAAGTACCTCATATAGACTGTCCAATTGTATTCATATAACTGTACATACTATACTAAATAAAAACATCCTCCTTACTTTCCCATAGAAGCCACTGTCCTGCTGCAGGGGGACATGGAAGGTCCCCCCGTAAAGCTGAAGGACCTCCTCATCTGGCACTGGGCTCAGTCCCCTGGGAACATCAAACATAAATAATTACATTGGAGTTTTAAAACAAATACACAACATTATCAGATAAAACAAACAGATGTCTTTGCCCTCGGCAGCAGGGATTTAAATTTAATAAAAACCCAATAAAAAATGTCGTATTAGAGCTACTTAAAGGATGAAGCCAGTATTTTTCAACTGGTGCTCTATTTTTCCTTGTTTTTGAGTCTACATAGCTAATGGTAAAAGCCATTTTTAAAATGGTCCAGTATTGAGTGAGAGTGAAGCAGCCAGAAGTTGTGAAACAGGCTGAAATGTAACCACTGTTATGTTCGTACTGTCAATTAACGTTCACTGAAATGGCTTGTTTTTGTCACTGGCAGGCTGGAAAGGATCCTTACAGAGACAGACCTTTGTGTTAAAGAGTAAGATCCTTTTTGTTTAACCAGAAACAGCCAAAAAAAATGCCACACAAGACACCAAACTCATTTTAAATCAACTGTAATGTTAGCATGTAAAGAGCCACTGTGTGAATTAAAGGTTTATGTCAATCAAACCAGAGTTGGAGATTGTTGGAACAGTGGAAAGACAAACCAAGATGGTTTTGTGAGTTTTATTTTGCTTTGCAAACTTTAAATGAAGTGTGTTTTACGATGATAAAAGGCTGTTAATTCAAATGTTAAATGGAGTTTGCTTGGTCTGACCACAGCGACTTCATGGCTGTTTCTTTTTCAACAAAGATCTTACTATTTAACAAAATCTCTAAAGGGTCCTTTTCATAAGTTGTAACATACTTAGAGTAATTATCTAAACATGTCAGAAGCAAAAACAAGTACTTTTAGTCAATGTAAATGTGGCCTGAGTGGCTACATGCAGCCTGTTTCTAAACTCAATACTGGAGCACTTTAAAAAATCGTTGTTTCCATTAGTCACTTGGACAAAACAACTTAACACCCAATACAGCAACAGCCTCTTACCGATACACTGTTCCTGGCTGAATGTAATGGAAGGCATCTATCTTCATCAGGAGACCCTACAGAGAGGGGGGAAGAGTCTCTCGTATAATTACCCGTACAGAAGAAAGTAAACATTTCTCTTCCTGCAAACGGGACATTTGGGATTTAAAAGAATTTACCTTTTGGATGTCATAGTGAAGACCCCGGACGGTAAAGTTGGGAATGTAATCGTACTTGTGGATGCCTTCAGGGTACTGTTAAGCAGGAGGACAAAAGGGATAAGTGAACCTGAATCTACAAGCAGCTGTAATGCCATTACACTTGATCCACCTCCGTAAAAACACACCTTAAAGTGTTCGATTAGGAAGCTTTTTGCTTTATTGTAGATCATCTCATTAAGCGAATTTGAGTACAGAGCCAGCGTGTAGTCATAGTCAAAGCCGTAGATGTCCACTTCAGCCAGGTCGACCTCATTGTTAGCGTAGATGGTGGAGGCGTTGAGGAGATTACATGCACCTGGTGGGATCAGTTCTGAGAGCAGAGGGGAAATACTTCCTTCAGATTAAACAGGATAAATGCTGATTAAATCAGACAGAAATCAATGCTCAAGCAAGACAAGAGAGCAAAACACAAGCCGCTGTTATCATATGAGGCAGGGAAGGATTAGACTATTCACACTGCAGGAAAAAAAATCTGTACTGTACTCTGAAACTTGTTGATTATGCACTTCTGCAGAGAGACAAGCAGAAATTTCCGATGGTGAGTTCAATCTAGTGAGGCTGGCAGGCTCGTCGGTGGTTGCATAATATGTGCTCTGGGATATAAACTGACACTTCACAGAACTAAGTCCAAAACATCAAAACATTCAGTACAGCCCTGTCAAAATACAGTGTTTTATTCAATGTATTGCTCTAACATTTATTCATGACCTCTTCTGGCAGAGGTTCTTTTCATTATGTATCTTCCATGTTTTGTTAGCCACTGTTTTGATGAGCACAACTGTCACGCAGCGAACACGTGGACACAGATTAAACCAACAGTTTCCAATCTGTTCCCGAGGCAGCCTCTCACACCCCGGCAGGAGTGCAAGCTGTAGGTCTATAGGGAGAAAGTGGGCCATGGCCTTCTGTCCTGGGACAGTTCAATGAGGGCTGCAGCTGTGCACAAGTCAATGCATGCACCAAGCCTGAGGCTAAGTTTCGTCTGGCCATTCTGCCGGGGTCACATTTCAAAAGATGGAATCTATCAAAGTCAGTCTGAGGAGCGGGAAGAGCTTAAATAAAACCAGGCTTGGGATTCATAGCTTGACTTGAATCAGCTACTGAGAGAATAACTTTATATAATTTAAAGTAAGAAATGTACATTGATTATACACTTTTTTTAAAAAAAAAATCAATGTACCCAGTGGAGCACTTCATAGACAAATATTGCACTCCATCTCCAGCTAGATTTTATCCAAATAAACATATGACCAGTTTAGAAATGGTGATGCATTGTTAGAAAGTATACAATCAGTAAATGAAGCTCTGTTTCAACATGCTGCAACATTAAAATGATGTTTGCATGTTAATGCAACAGTTATACTTATCACATATCATAACAGCATTGTAAGAAGGCATTATGCTGCATAATGAGTTTACTGTTGATATAGGTGCATTTTTACTTAAGATTTTGAATGCATGGCTTTTAGTTATCATAGTCAGCATTGTGAGGGCACATTATGCTGCAAATGAGAATTTCACTGTAAGTTTGACTTGAATCGGTTACTTAGAAATGACGTTTTTAAAAAAAAAAATCCATGTATCCACTGGTGCACTAACTACATTTATGCAACTTTTAGGTGCTTGTACTTTTCTTGTGCTACTTCATACATCTACTCCTTCACATTTAAGCATGCAAATACTGTACTTCATACTTCTTATTTATCTAACAGCTACACTCTATCTAAAAAACATATGATCAGATTATAAAGTATGATGCTACCCTGCAGTAAATGAAGCTCTGATTCAACAAGCTGCAACATTAAAATGATGTTTGCATGTTCTTGCAACAGTAATACTTATCACATATCATAATCAGCATGATAAGGGCACACTATGCTGCATAATGTGTATTTTAATGCTGATACTTTATGTACATTTTGCTTGTGCACTGTTACTTATCATGTCATTTGCTTATTACTGTCTAAGCATTTCAGTGTTTATTTCCCCGTTGTAATACGACACTTAAAGTATGGCTGGACCACGTGAACGGAACAACAACAACAAAACAACAAAGAAAAGCACATTTTTTGTTGGTAATTTAATAATATTCTGTGTTGAATAGACAGAGGGACTCAATGTAGCATCATGGTGCTTTCACAGACTGGTCACATTTTCAGTTTTTTGATGCTTCAGTTTACTTATTAAGATAATTATACTTAAACATTTAAACACCACCTCTAACGCTGGCTCATTCACTTTTTGTCTAATTTAGATTATAAAACAATAAATAAGTGGTCTAACCTGCCCTAAACAACATTATTGTTACTGTCAAAGCAACAAACTGTTACTTTAAATTAGCATAGGAATTTAAGCTATAAGCTAGCTAGTTGTTCTGTAAGCTAACGCGGGGATTGTTTTCGACACCAAATAGGGAACTGACTTGGACTTGTTGAGTTGTAGTTTGATTTAAAACTGCACACAGTTATTTGAACGTTATCTTAAATGCTTTTGGCATCAGCAGCAGAAGGTATTGTGCCATCTGTCCGCTTTGGTTACTGTAACAGAGGATGAAAAACAATCACCAAGTGAACAAGCTGTCCCCACCAACGGCTGACTGAACGCCCTGGCACCGCGAGGTCGGTTAACCGTCGCTGTCTGCGGTCGACTTGAGAAGACATTTGGGACAACTTGAACTTACCGTGGACTAGTCGTTTCGTGTCATTGTACCGAGCCCACATGTAGGAGCTCTGCTTTACCGGAGCTGCTGAAGACGAGGTGTATGACCGTCGTCTTACACCAGTAACACCGGGAGCACCCACGGGCTCCTTGGCTCGTTTCTTCTCCCCTGCGCCGCATCTGTGAGGAGACTCGCTGGCTGATGACACGGTAGACACGTCTCCACTCGGTGTCTCCGAGTTGGAGCTGCAACTTTGTGTGTTAGTTTTTCCGCAGCCCTGCTTTGTTCCTGCAGACACACTGCATGTTGTAGAAAGTCTGTTCACTTTGAGGGACCGCGCCACGGGAGGAGTCCCTTGTCCGGTAGTCCTCAGTGTCCATGTCAGCGCGGTGCCCACCGCCTTTAGAGACATCTTTACTGTGCAAATGTAAACACTTAAATAAACAACTGCTGCCTGCTCTGCAGACGTATATACCCTGCAAGCAGGCAGACGACAACAGTGCCTCGCCCTCAGTGTAGCGCCATGGCCTGGATAAACACGCCTCTGAATTTAAAGGGGCGGAGTGAAGTCACCGCAGCCAATCTGCATGGCCATAGCAAACACATATTCACGTAAACAAAATTATTTCATGTAATGTACAAAATGCTTTGAGGACGTGACCCCAGAACATGCAAATGAGCACACGGTGTGTCCTCACGTAAAGACACAGTCAACAACACGGCACAACATCGACTTAAATTACCCAGCAGTCACCACTGCATCTGCATGTGACCAAAATACCAAATAAAATAAGAATATATTCATTTAATTTAATCATTTTATAGTTTATTCATGCATAGGCATATAATTTTGTTATAATAATAATAATGATAACGACTTTAGACTATTTCACCCACTGTCAACATGTGCAATTAATTTAACTTGTGCAAAAACCTTATTTTATCTTTACTGTATACTGTTTATGATCTATTTTAATGCCACTGTATCTATGTATATTTGTTTTAGGTCACTATATATATTTTTGTAAATAATCTTGTTAGATTTTCTCATATTTTCACTTAGAATTGCCCTATACGATATATCTTTCTGCTCTTGTAAGGAGCACCTGTAACACCAACACTTTCCCCCCGGGGATCAATAAAGTATTTCTGATTCTGATTTTATTGAGGACACAGAGAACAGTCCAAAGCATAGCACACAAAAACAGACAATCATCTATGTACAAAAATACGATATGATAAATACTATATATA